ATATATAAACTACCTACAATATCAGGTGAGCTTTGGTGGCCTAGTTAATAAGGAGCTGTGCTGCTAACCTGAAGGCAAATGGTTCAAATCCACCAGCTGCTCTGCAGGAAAAAATGGGCAATCTCCTATGAGATTTACTGCCTCTTTTACCACTGGAGTGTCAGCTACGAGTCATTTCCACTAGATGGCACAACAACAACAACAAACATGTCACAGTTAATTATTTAATGAATATGTTTTACATGAACTTGAACATTATATGAGTATAAGTTGTAGTGATCACAAATGCAACAATATCTCTTTGGTTTGGTAGCTCTCATTATCCTCTTCACATTTTGCTACATGATATATATAGTTTTTAGTTTCTGATATCAATAATGCTATTGTAGTTGATAGTTTTCCTTGTTATTTGCATTTAAAGTGTTTTTTCCCAATGTGGAAATCCATTCAATGTGTAAAGCAAAATGGAAAGTAATTTAAAATATAGTGCAAGGCTAAATTTGAGTTCAATACAGATATTATAATTCATGAAATCCTTGAGAGTGTAAATAAATGGAAGTAATTTCTCCTGTGTAGAAAAAGAATGTCAAGCTACGTGTTACCATGGATACTGGATGTTGCTTAGAGTCTTGTTCTTTTCTTGGCAGTTAAGACCGTCTCAGTAAATATTGCGACCTTGCTATATCCCCAGCATCCTGTTGTTGATCAGACATAGCCATGCTTACTTTGTTACAGTTCATTCTTTTATTTATGAAGAGACAGTGATGTTTGGGGCTATATAATGTACTAACCATAACCAAATTGCCATGAATAGAATTTGGACCAGATATCATAAAGCTGATGTGATTGATAAATCAGTTTCTCCCATGATCTCAGTAACCTAAAAGGGGGGGGGGACCCTGCAAACATTGTATTTTTACTCAGACGAGATCTATTTAATATTCTCTTAAATAAATACTGTATGTGTGCTTTCCTTGTCAATTTTCCCATATTCAGTTGAGCTAGAGTTGTTTGGTAAAGGATTTTTAAGCCTTAGCTGGCACCATTAAAAAGCAATTTACTTTAGAGATAGGTCCTTTAGCTAAATACACATGTTATTTTACTTTTATGGCAGTGTTAGAAATAAAGGAGGAAGTATTTTCTCAGTGCCTGATATAGGTTTTCCCCTCATATTGGATTAGTTGTAAAGGTTGGTTTGTATGTCACACTATTTGATACAGATCCCCTATGGTGGAGACAAGAACAGTAAACCCACACAGGAGAGATAAGATTTCTGTACTTATTTTATTCATCCTTGCTTACTCTCTCATAAATGTCCACAGACAGCCCCAGTGCTAGATTATAATTAGGACTACATGCTCCACTACTAGCTAGCTGACTGAGTCTAAGACATCCAGTGTTGCCTGGGAAGACAGGCCTAGCAGAAGATCATAGTCTTGAAAATTCCTGGGCATAGCTCTTCTAAACACACATGGGGTCTCATGAGTCAGAATTGACCCTATAGCAACTAATAACATAAACATCCCACTGGAAAGCCTAAAACAAGATCATCCTGAAATTTACACATCTTTGAAGAGGAGCGGAAGCACTTGTGCTATACAGTCCACAGACAGAGGGAGCCAAGATGTTGGATGAGTAGTAGCCAAATTGTTACAGGTATCATCTCCTGTATTTTTTATTCTTATTTGTACTGTCCTACCACGAATTTAGGGGAGCCCTGATGGCCTGGTGGTAAGAATCTATACTGCAATCCTAATTGGTTCAAATCCACCAGCTGCTCCTCAGAAGGATGGGCAATCGCTTCCCTTGTGATTTCCTGCCTCTGCAAACCCTCTGGAGGGTCAGCTATGTGTTAATTCAACAGTACTCCACAACAACAAACAGTTTAGGGAACTCAGGTGGCCTATTCCATAGGGAGTTGCTCTGCCAATCTAAAAGTGGATAGTTCAAATCTACCAGCTGCCCTGAAGTAGAAAGATGGACAATATCCTTCTCATGATTTGTAGTCTCTAAAAGTGCACTGGAGTATCAGCTATGAGTTGGTTCTGACTGATGGCCATGTGTTTGCATTCCGGCCAATTTATCAAATTACATGTATGGATTCACCATGTAAAGTCAGAAGACACCAGCACTGCTTCCACTTTTCACTTACAAAGTGATCTGTGTGTATGTGGGGGAGGGGGGAGGAGGGCAAGCAAGGACTCCATTGTGCAGATCGGAAAATACTAGGGGTATTGCCAACTTGGAGGAAAGCTCCTTTCATATACTTTGGGTGTGTTGTTAGGAGGGGCCAGTCCTTGGACAAGACATCGTGCATGGAAAGGGAGAGGGTCAGCAGGAAGAGAGGAAGGCCCTTGACAAGATGATGGACACAGTGACTGTTGAAAATCATCTCGAGCATGTCATGGACGGTGATGGTGGCACAGGGGAGGGGAGGATTGGTTGTTCACCAGGTCACTATGAATCATGGTTGACTTGATGGCATCTATTAACAACATTTCCAAGTTTGCTTGAAATTCAACAATTCAACAGTGATCAAATGATACGAAGGAATACACAGGAGAAGCAGAAACCTTCCTTTTACGGATTCATCATGTTATCATAAACAGCATCAGTTAAATGCTCATGATAAATTGATGATGAGACATACATTTTAAATCTGGTTTTTAAAAATTATCTTCATTGATTTAATTTAAGGCAAAAGATACTATACTATCCAAAGGCACCAAGAGCACTGTAGAAAAGAAAAAACAGAACATAAATAGGCCAAATGACTTAGTCATCGCCTCCACACCCTCCACTAAAGAAATTTCAGGCTGACTGAGTAGAGTCTGTAATCAAGTGTCTGGAAGGAGACTTGCTCCTTCACTGATGGAGTGAGAATACCACAGTTTGTTTTCCTCTTTGGCAGACAGAAAGTTTTCCCACAGATATCTGGATTACAAATTGAAATGAAGACGCATAAATATATCTAAACTATGACAATAAAAATACAACATTGTTTCTATAATTTCTGCATTCAGTTGTAAGATTTGAAACATGAGAGTTTTTGTTAAATACTCATGAAGAAATCTTATACTGAACATTGTGTTTTCGATTCTTAGGTCGGATGTTGCCATGTTGTATAATGATCGCTCTGTCCTTGAGAATCACCATGTGAGCGCAGCCTATCGACTTATGCAAGAAGAAGACATGAATATCTTGACAAATTTATCCAAAGATGACTGGAGGTGAGTTTCAGAACAACACTAGAGGAAATTTAATTTTTCTTGTTGTGTGTACCATAGAGTCAGAACCGACCCATAGCTGACCCTCTGGCAGGTTTTCAGAGGCAGTTAATAACAAGGGAGGAGACTGACCATCCTTCACCCTCAGAGCGGCAGGTGGCCTCAAACGCTGTGCCTTGGAGATTGCAGAGCACATTCTTGCCACTAGGCCACCAGAGCCCTGAAATTTAATTTTAGGGAAAATATAAATATTGTCATTTAATGTAGAGAAATCATATGAAACTCAACTAAATTTGTGCTACAAATTAATCATACTAGTTGAAAAGATAACTCTGAGAAAGAAGAAATCTAGATTTTGTTTAAGATCTATGTAGGCTTTGTTGGATGAAACTTAAGTATTTCCAGGTCAGTTCAACCTTTATATGCACACAGCCAATCTATAGCTTGCTACATTACACAATGGATACTTTAAAGCTTGGAAATTCTTTGCTGTTGAGTTGGAATGGATGTATAGCTGCCCCCCCCTAATGGGTTTTCTGTAAACACGCAGAAGATTGCCCATCTTCCTTCTGCAGAAGACCAGTGGATTTGAACCACCAGAGAGATGCAACATTTGGGTCAGCAGCATAACTCTCTGTGAGCCAGGCCACTAGAGCGCCTTGTGAATATTTTAAGACTGCTAATCACATATTTTCTGGAGTACAACTCTATTCAGTTTGGACCAATTATACCATCCTATTACTGACTCAGCTTCCCCGCGGCTTCAGGCTCCCACTTCTGCCATCGGCGGCAGGTCCCTCTGTCTCTCCCTTGCTCCTCCCAAACAGTTTTGGCTCCGCCTTGGGGCTTGGTACCTGGAGGCGTGTCAGAAGCTATTGTCAGGGTGACACAACCCTGCTCGCTGAACCTGAGGAGGACCTCATGCACTTACTGCAGCGGGTCAAGGACTGCAGCCTTCAGTATGGACTGAGGCTCAATGTCAAGAAGACAAAAATACTCACCACTGGACCAATCGGTAGCATCAGGATGGATGGCGAAGAGATTGAGATTGTTCACAGCTTCAGTTTGCTCGGCTCCATGGTCAACTCTCTTGGCACCAGCAGCCAGGAAATCAAAAAACGTATTGCGATGGGAAAGCCTGCTGTTAGGGACCTCTCTAAAGTACTCAAAAGCAACGGTGTCTCTCTGGAGACTAAGGTGTGCCTGATACAGGCCATGATTTTTGCAATAACTTGTTATGCATCAGAGAGTTGGACAATGACTAGGGAGGATAGAAGGAGAATTGACACCTTTGAGCTGTGGTGCTGGAGAAGGGTATTGAATGTACCATGGACTGCCAAGAAAGCAAACAGATTCATCCTAGAGAGGGTTAAACCAGGCTATTCCTTGGAGGCAAGGATTCTGGGGCTTGTCTCACATACTTTGGACATGTTGTAAGGAGAGACAGGTCTTTGGAGAGGGACATCATGCTGGGTAGAGTAGAGGGACAGCACAGGAGGGGAAGACCCTCTATGAGGTGGATTGATTCAGTGACTGGGGTAGTCGGGATGGGTGTGTCAGAGGCAATGAGATTGGCACAGGATAGAGCACGGTTTAGGGCTGTTGTACATGGGGTCGCTATGAGTCGCAAATGACTCGACGACACATAACAACAACAACAACATTATTGACTCATGTCAATTGATGTCGTTTTTCTTTTAAGAATTTTTTAAAATGTTAAATTAAAAATTACTAATATAACCAATGTTTATAACATAACCCAAGTATGTAAGGAAATATTACATATGTTCCTGAAGGATTTACTTGCCTGGAATAAGCAGCACTGGAAACAGCTCTGCTGGTGTTAGGGTTGTCAGCACAATTCTTTACTACTAAGCCAGCAGAGCCCCTTTTTCTTGTCTTAGGAAACAGATTTTTTATGTTATCAAAATTTAGCCTGGTGTAGCTGTTAGATGTCATCAGGTCAACCACAGCTCACAGAGACCCTACGAGCAACAGACCGGAAGCCTACCCTAGCCTGTGCCATGGCTGGCATGCTCAAATCATTACAGTGACTGTGTCAATCCATCTCTCCACCTCTCTTCTCTGAACCACTACCTTTCCCAGCATGGCTTTTGACAAGGAGTGGTCCCTCTTGACTACATGTCTGAAGTATATGAGATGAAGTTTCACCAGCCCTGTGCCGAAGGAGCAGCCTGTTTGCCTACAATTTTGTGTAGGTTGTAGCAACTTGGGAACTTGGCTAGTTAGGGAGCTATAGGAAAATGTCAAAATTGTAGAGGAGATTCAGGCCTTTTTTTTTCATAGGCTCGCTATGAGTCATGCTCAACTCAAAGGCAATCAACAACAACAAGATTAATGTACACAGTGATTTTCCCCCCATTTCTCTTAAAAGTTAGAGATTAAAGAGTACATAAACATAAATAAAAATAAAATTCATTTATCTTAGATCCCCAGTAATTTGAAAACTGTCTGCTATAAGAATGTTTTGATAAAGTCATTAATTATGTCCATTTAAGTGACTGAATATTGGTTATTGTACATTTATCATTTCTCCTTTTTGTTCAACTTTGTTTACATTGCTTTGGTAGGATAGCTTTCTTAACATGGTTTTTCTTTGGTATCAGAAACATGGTATAGAAATATATACCCTAATACCAGTTATTCTCAAACGTTTTGGAATTGTTTTTGGATCTCCTTGGCTAGGGGCTCTAGACTAATTCTTGTCTGTCCTTTAACATCTTGTTAAAGATGAATTAGTAATCTTAAAAAGAGTTCTTTAGATGAAGATACTAAGAGTTTTACAAAGATAGAAAAATGACTGAAGAAAAGTAACTCAAGGCAAAAAATGGCTGCTTTTTTTTTTCAAATGTGAAAGTTAAATGTAGGGATGGAAATCTTTCAGGGTTACCTTTCCAAAAGATGAAAGCTTCTGATTTTAAGACCAATCTTAATCATAAAAACCTCATTTTCATAACTGGCAAAATTAGGGGAGGGGGGAAAGGATTTATCCTTATGAGATTGAGTGAGTTCACTCAGCACAACCCTCTCCAGTCTCTCCCAAGTTAGGTAGCATTTTTTGAAATCATTGCTTCTGAGTGTTGCGTAGTATTCCATTGTGTGGATGTACCATAATTTCTCAGTCCATTCAGTTGTGATTGGACATTTGGGCTGTTTCCATGTTCTTATAAGGGTGAATAATACTGCTATTGAACAATGGTGTACAAATCTTCATTTGAGCTTCAGTTCTAATTTTCTTGGGGTATATTCCTAGTTTAGAAGCAGGAGTGGCATCCACTCCCACAACAGCTTGCCTCAGAAAACCCTGTGAACCTGGACAAAGGACGAAAGTTACACAGGTGTCCAGGACTTTCGTTCATAGAGTCGCTATGATTCACCTATGACTCGACGTCACTTAACAACAACAACAACATGTTCCCAGGAGTGGAATAGCTGGGCCATACTGCATAAAACCATTATTGTAAAATTAGAAGGATAATTAGTAAAATGTGTATGAGGATCCTAAGTGGGGAGTAATGGGAGCAGAGGAGTGAAGATGAGTGGGGTGAAATGACAAGCTTGCCCAATTAGGTGGGTAGAGGGAAGAAGGAGGGGGTAAAGGAAATGGGAGAGATCCTGTAGGGATCTGAAAAGACCAGGTAATGGTGGGCATAGTCCATTGGGGATGAATTTTATAAAACACAATGTATGGGAATGATTGTATGAAATATAATGCCAATGAAGGAAAGTGCTGGGAAAAAATATTTTTTATTAAAAAAGCCAAAAAAAGAGATTGTGAACCAGAATCAGCTTTATAATCAACCAAATTACACATGAGAAAATTAAGCAAAATCCTTCTTTGCCTCTGTATATTAAATTTACAAAATAGGGGGGAAATTAGGAGAAAAGAAATGTTTAGTTTGTGAGACCTCATTCAAGCCTTCCATTTTGTTCTTCTTAAATAATAATAACTCCAGAAGTCTAGGAAAACCAGGATTTAATTAGAAAAGTATCTTAAAGTGACCACTGCATACTGTGTTATTTGTAGACTCAACTAGCAATTCAGTTTATTGATGGTCAGTCAGATATACTCATAATTGACCCTCTAGTGTTGGTCAGAGTCTGTAAATCAAACAAGAAGAGAGCGCCCATCATTCTCCCACAAAGCAGGTAGTGGATTCAAACTGTCTGCCTTTGAGTTGGCAGAGTAATTCCCTGTCCACTAGGCTACCAGAGGTACCTATGTGGAGACCAGAAAGCAAAAGTAGCAGGAGACCGCTTGAGAGAAATTTCCAGGATCCAAAAGAAAAATTATTTTTGCCTAGAGGGTCAATTTATTTCTTCATTAAAGTAATGGTTTCTAAAGGTAACATTTATTGTATTAATGTTTGAATCAACCTTTTTCTTTCTTCTTGTTGATTATTTGCTATTTCAGCATGATTTTAATTCCTATTGGACACTTTTTTAAACATCTTTAATATTTTGTTCTAATAATGTATCATTGTTTTACTGTTTTCACTTCTGAGAGTAATTTTAATGAAATCTTTTTCTATAGAACTGCTTTAACAGGCATTATACGTATAATAGGGAGCTCTGGTGGCCTAGTGGTAAGGAGCTGCTCTGCCAACCTGAAGGCACATGGTTAGAATCCACCAGCTGCTCTGTAGGAGAAAGATGGGCAACCTCCCCCTGTGTGATTGAAATCTTTAAAAACCCCCTGGATGGTCAGTCAAGTTGGTTCTGACTCTGTAGCACAAACAAAACCATACATATTATTTAGTAATGGCATGGTACTTCAGGCTAGATCTTAAATGTTCTTTGTGATGACGAATAGAAAACCATCTGCCTTAGAGGAAGTATGAGGAGGATGCTCTTTAGAGGCAAGGATGGCGAAACTTCATCTCACATGCTTTGGGCATGTTGTCAGGAGTCCTTGAGAAAAGTCATACTGGGAAAAGTGTAGCATCAGAAAAAAAAGAGGGAGATCCTTCACTACACAGTGGCTGCAGCCATGAGTTTGAGAATGGCAGAAAATTCATGGTGCAAGATTGGGAAAGGTTCCCATCTGTTGTTCATAGGATCACTATGAGTAATAGTCAGCTCAATGGCACCTAAGAACAACATGCATATTATTAAAGAGCAGTGTTGACTGCTGTTCCTGCTAAATGCTATCTGTATGTTTTGGCATAAAATGTTCAATATTCTCAAGTGTGAAATAACCCTGTATCCTAATAGAGTTGTTGTCAGAATTAAATGTCCCAATATATATGGTACACAGTAAGAGATCTATTCCTAAATAGTATACTTCTAGAGAAAAATATTATGCTTGACAAAACAGAGGACGGTTGGCCAGCAGGAATGCCCTCAAAGAGATGGATTGGTGCCGGGCTGCAACAATGCGCTGGAACAGAGTACCAGCTGTGGAGATGGTACAGGATCAGGCAGTGCTTCACTGTGAGTTGGAAATGACTCTGTCACCTAGCAACCTACAGTAGTGATTGCACTGAATACATAATGGTGGTTTTATTAACAATAATTGTTGCTAGGTCCATTGAGTCAATTAAGGAAGTGGGTTACTAGGCCTTTCTCCCTTGGGGTTTCCTGCCGCATTCAGACAGTCAATCTGTCTGTTAACACAAGAGCCAATAAAACTTCTTCTATTAAATACAGTATCTTCTCACTCATGGACATGGTTAAATTCCAAAGACCAGACTACTATATACAAATCTGTGGTATGTGAAGATGCAGGGTGACTGACACACCACTGAGACTTGTGGCCCAGCCAAGCGGATGTAACCTTAGCCACCATCGTCAGCGTTATTGTCATTTCACATACCAACTTTCACTACTGCAGGCCAACATTGTTAATGGGGAAAACAGATAGGAATTTAAAAAAAAATAATAATAAAAACCCTACTGTTTTAAAATGCTAAATGTCAGCTAATGAGATAATAACTCAATAAATGAGGAAGTTGTATTGAAACCATGAAAAATGAGAGAGGAAAGAACATTGAGAGACAATGCCTCTCTCGTGCCTGTCTTTCCTTACACACTAAGTTTCTTAATTTTGTTGACAGTGTGAAATGGTCTCAAATCTCATAGCTTTATATTTTTATCTTTCAAAATAGTTAAATACTATATGTAGACTGTTGTTGTTGTTGATTGCCATCAAGTTGATCACACCTTATGGTGACCCTATGAACAAAAGACCTGAAGCCTTTCTTGTAACTATGGAAATTTCTCCAAGTTCATAGTTTCCACAGGCATATGGCTTAGGAAGTAGATGTAACTCCTGCTTCCAAACATGTCTTAAACTTGTATTTAGAATAGTTTTCCTTTAAAATAGCCTAGGTTCCTTTCAGGTAGAAAAATAATATTTACAAATTATAAGGAAGGGAGGAGAATGGGACTAATGAGGAGGAAGCATCTAATTATTTAGAGGAGATGCCAGTGTCATCTCAGACAAGTCTCTTGACCACATGCTAAATCTATGGGTTATAAGGGGAAATAACATTACACTTTATGAACCTTCTTTTTTCCACTTAAAAAGTAACATCTATTGGGTTCTCATCCATTATGAAAATGAAAATGCAATTAGTGATATTCAAGGATACTCTAGAATAAAAAGAGCCCAATGAACTTCTCGTTTTGATACCTCCACAGGGATCTTCGGAATCTAGTGATTGAAATGGTTTTATCGACGGACATGTCAGGTCACTTTCAGCAAATTAAAACTATCAGGAATAGTTTGCAGCAGCCTGAAGGGTAGGTTATTTTCTTCTGTTATATTGAATTTTGTGGGCTGGGGAAAGTCCGATTGGATGTTTGCTTTGACAATTTGAGCATGACTTTCTTTGACAGGATTGACAAAGCCAAGACCATGTCTCTGATTCTCCATGCAGCAGACATCAGCCACCCAGCCAAGTGCTGGAAGCTGCACCACCGGTGGACCATGGCCCTGATGGAAGAGTTTTTCCGACAGGTACACCTTGCACATTGTATAGATGTGCTTTTAGAAGTTGTGACTTTATATCTACATGCACATTTTCTGGGTACAAAACCAGGTTTTATGACATATTAAAATCCCAATTGTAGATTATGAATTGGTTACAACAGATTCCTGGGAATGTATGCAAAATTTATTGATCTTTCAGGTAAATATACCATATAATTCAAAAAGCAGTGGTAGTCCGTTCAGACAGTGATTTTGCACCTGGTACGGTGAAGACTTCGGTTTGATTCTTGGCCAAAGACCTCAAGAACGGTCATCATTATATATCTGTTGGTGAAGGCTTGTACACTATTACGATGTTAAATAGGCTTCTGTGGAGCTTCTAGGCTGAAACATACCAGGAAGAAACCTAACATTCTGCTACTAAAAATTGTTGTGTTTCTTGTTGTTGTTTTTATGTGCCGCTGAGTCACCTGCAACTCATAGCGACTCTATGTACAATAGCTCTGTACATGCCTTATCCTGAGCTAGTTGCACTGACTCAGACACTTCTATACCATTGCCCCAGTTACTGTATCAATTCATCTCATCTAGGTTCTTACTCTCCTTAACTCACCCTTCTCCCTTCTGAGCATGATGTCCTTCTCCAAGGACTGGTCTCTCCTGGCCACATGCCCAAAGTCTGTGAGACAGAGCTTCAAAATCATTGTCTCCAAGGAGAAACTTGGTTTCACCCTCTCCAAGAATAACCTATTTGTTCTCCTGGCAGTCCATAGGTGTTCAATTATTTTCTCCAGCACCACAACTCAAAGGAATCTACTGTTTTTCTATCATCCTTGGTCATTGTCCAGCTCTCTGATGCATAACAAGTAATTGCAAAGATCATGACCTTGATCAGACACACCTCAGTTTCTAGACTGACATCATTACTTCTCAGTACTCCAGAGAGGTCCTCGACCACAGATTTTCCCAGTGCAATTCATCTTGTGCCGATGAAAATCCCATGGATTTCAGTGGTCTGATCTGCTATCAATGTTGAGGCTGTCACTTTGTGCATGGGGGTTTGTTCCATTGTCACCAGTAGGGTAAACAACACCACCAAGGTGGTAGGATACATGTTTTAAAGAGAATCGAGTCTTGGTTCTTAGATGTTACTCTTAGAGAAGGAAGAACAAACCAATTAGAGGAGTGATAAGCTGTTAGGAAACAAACACTAAAGAAGAGACAGGAAAGAGAAATTATGTGAGCCTTCTGAACATATCCAGTGGTACATATGTAGCATCAGGATGGATGGTGAAGAGATTGAGATTGTTCACAGCTTTCGTTTGCTCGGCTCCACAGTCAACATTTTTTGCACCAGTAGCCAGGAAATGAAAAGACACATTGCCATGGGAAAGTCTG